GGGATAGAGAAAAGATTAAAATTTAAAAGTACTAACTACCGAGTATTCTCTCCTTCGTCCAAACCTAGCACTATTGTCTTGTACGTAATTCTAAACGTATAATTTATAATTCATTTATTTTTAATAAATTATTAATTTGGTATATTCTTTATTTATTATCAAAAAAAATATATTTTTCATTAACAATTTTTTTCATGAATTTGATGGAGACTAAATAAGTATATATTATATTCTCTCTCAACTTAAATTCTTTATATTTGTAAGAGTTAAGACTTAAGATTTGATCTGACTAATTAAATTGATATTATAAATTATATTTTTTATTTTTATAGAAGTAATACTAATTTTTTAAAAAAATTGTGTAATAATCTTTAAAAAAAAACTATTGATTTAATGTCTAAATTAATATACTTTATTGATGTTTAAGGGTTAACTTTTTTTATTTTTTATAAAGTTTAAGGAGGATTAACTTTAAAGATATCAAAATTTAAGAAATTATTTAGTATGATTTAATTTTTATTAATTAATTTCTAAACATTAGAGAATTATTTGTATAATACAATACTGTATTTCTTTATTCTAGGAACTATTTAGGTGAGAGAATAATATTTGTATTAAGAAATTAATGGTCAGAATATGTTAGCATTGTAAAATTTAACTATTATTTAGTATTTTATAGGACAGATATTCTTTAGTTGTAAAGTTATATATATAAATATATATATATATATATAAGATAAATTTGTTAATTATATAATAATTTAGCTTAAAATCTATATTTAAAATAATTTAATTTAGTTAATGGTGTAGAAACATGTAAAATACACTACAAAATAAATAACTACGGAGTATACTCTCCTTCACGGAAAGCTAGTATATTGTCTTGTAAATGTAAACGTCTAATATATTGTTTTGTTCTTTGTTTATTATTTTGATAAATCATTAATTTGGTACTCAAATATTATTTTTTAAAATAATTTTATTTTTAAAAAACATAATTGTATTGTAATATTTAAAATACTGAAAATATATAGATTTACTTATAAATTTATATCCTTTATCAGTATATAGGGACTAACTTTAATTAAAAACATCAATTTTTAAGAATTTTTTTAATAATAATTTAAAATATATTTCATGTAATTTTTGAAATTGGAGTGAGCATCAGTCAGTTTAGATCGGTTTATTCTTATTTAAACTTGATTTAATTTTTTTTTTATCGTATTATTTTTAAATTTGAATTCTAGTCGACTACTGTCTTAAAAAATATATAGAATAAGAATGAACTGATTATTTTTTATACACTATATTAATTTTATCATTATGTGTAGTTAAATTAAAAATTAAAAGAAACACAAAACTTAAATTAAGATATATTTTTAAGATAAAATTTTTTATTATAAATCTAATATCATATTATAAAAATATATCAATTTTTTTATTATTAATATACAATAATTCAATAAAAAAATATATTTTTAGGACAGTATTATATATTAAATCGAGTTGTGTAGCCTAGAATGTAACTTAAAAACTGTTCTAAATATTTAGTACATCTAATTTCAAAATCCAAGTCAAATTAATCTGGGGTGAAATAGATTCACGAACCAAGTTGAATCATATTCACTCTTACTTTAAAATGCACTTTGAAAATCCTATACATCAAGAATCTTAAAATCTCTAATACTTTGAAATATACTTCATGCTACAAATAAACACTACATAGAAAAAACATTGGTACATTTGTAGCATGTGTATAGTCTATTCTAAAGAGGAAGTGTTTCATCTACTATTCGTGTGGTATAGACTTTACAAATTGTATTTAATATTTATTTTTTATAATTACAACTTTTGAGAGATCTAGTGAGAGACATGTAATTTGTCCTTTAGTCTAACAAAACATTCAGACTTATAGTATATAAAAAATTAAACTCTTATTTTAATATATTAATTTTAATTTTTTAATTATTTTATGTTCTCTTTATTAAATTATTTTAATATGCTTTTAAATTTTAAATTATTAAAATGTTTCATCTTTAAAAGTTAATAAACATGTTAAATTATTAAAATTATATATAATTATAATTACTTTTGGAATACAACTTTAATTACTTAAAACATAATTTTATCTACTAAATAAAAAGAGATAAAAATTATTATATATATACTATCATCTTACATTTTATTAACTATTTTAAAAATGTTTATTAAATAATTTTAATTCAATAATATAGTTTATAGAGATTGTAGATAACTCCTTGGAACATCTCCAACCCAAGAATCTAATTTGGGTTCTTAACACTTTTTGTGGTCCTGAATGGTAACATGACATTTAGAGTAGTGCTAACAACATATTTTTTTTATTAGTTAAAATTTATGTTTATTTTAAAAAAAAATTATTGATTATGCATGTGAAGTGGCAAATTAAGGATTTGCATGTTTACTTCTATTTTATTTTCAATTTTCACTTTAATTTGCAAAAATGTTACATTATTTTCGGTTGTTTCCTATCTTTTTATATATATATATATATATATAT